TGAATGAAACTAAAAGAATTTAAAAAAAAAAAACTAATTGCTTAGAACTTCAAAAAAGCATTAGATCTACTCTAAGGATTTCTTCAGATGTTCAAGCCTATTATAACTCATCTACTAGTTCTACTGCAATGCAACTCAGCAAATATTTCCCAAAATAAAGCGAGTTTCATTGGATTTCTTCAAGGCACTATGCTTCATATGTCTGGAAGATGCTTTCACCAGAGCTTAAATTTTTGGAAAAGAACTGCTTTTGCTGGAACTCTGAGTAGGTGTTAGAACATTCACTCTGGGCAAACATCTTACAATGTAATCTGTCAAAAAAAAAATAGCTATAGCAGATACAATATCCCTACTTTCATGTAATTAGTATTTTGGGGAGCTTACTAAGAGAATTCATGCATGGATCAGCACTCATGAATATTAAACATAAAGGATAAAACTCTTATAAGTAATCGCCGCCCTATAAGTACTTTACTTGGTTAAGCAAATCTTTTGTATTTATCAGCTAATTCTCAACTGGATCTTAATTCTTTTCAAATGAGCTAGCTCCCACTTGGATCGCACGCAGATCACAGCTTGATTGTGAACCTACGCAACAAAATTAAGCTATACAAATAACAGTCCTCAATATGGTGCTGTCAGAAAGGCCTTAACTTATACTGCAGTGTGGAATGGAGCCTAGAAGGCTTGGGTGGTGAATTATGCTTCAAATTTGAGCTGATTGGTAAAAAGAAGAACAAATTTTGATTCAAAGTATAGAGCTGCTGCTGATGCTAAGTCGCTTTAGTCATGTCCGACTCTGTGCGACCCCTTAGACAGCAGCCCGCCAGGCTCCCCCATCCCTGGGATTCTCCAGGCAAGAACACTGGAGTGGGTTGTCATTTCCTCCTCCAATGCATGGAAGTGAAAAGTAAAAGGGAAGTTGCTCAGTCGTGTCCGACTCTTAGCAACCCCGTGGACTATAGCCTACCAGGCTCCTCTGTCCATGGGATTTTCCAGGCAAGAGTACTGGAGTGGGTCACCAGTGTCTTCTCTGCAAAGTATAGAGAACAGTTACTAATAGATGGAAAATCTACATCCAAAGCCTAGTTATAAAACATCACATTTAGGACTCCGAAAACAAAGGAAAATTGAAAGAACCCCCTGTTAATTTTTAAATATTTGTACCAGGCCTGTAATGAAGAATCTATAATATTAGTTACTGAGAAACAGAAATAAGCCAGGCTACAGGCAGTTGTACCTTACTAGATTTCATATCAGCTCTCTTTCTTCAGTTTCTTCTTCTTCTTCCTTTTTTTTTTTTTTTTTGCGTCTGTATATGCCAGAAACCCCTCAAAGTACTTGCCTTCATTCATCTAACTGATTTTTATTGCTAGCTTAAAGCAAGATACATTTACTTATTTTCGCTAGATATTGTTGCTACCTAGCAAAATGTCTAGCACAGAGATGCTCAACAAATATATGTTGTAAAGAGTCTGACAAATGGATGTGTGTGTGTGTGCTAAGTTGCTTCAGTCGTGTCTGACTCTGAAACCCTATGGACTGTAGCCCGCCAGGCTCCTCTGTCCATGGGATTCTCCAGACAAGAATACTGAAGTGGGTTGCTATGCCCTCCTCCAGGGATATAGATGATATTACATGATCTACACAGAGTTTGTGGAGATTTATAAAAGGATATCCACAATTCCATGACTTCTAAATTGATTTGTGGGCCCTCAATGCTTGAATAATCTATCTATGCAGGAACTAAATCTGAATATGGAGGGAAAAAATCCTAAACTGGAATTGTGACTTGACTATTAAGAAACCAGGTTATTTATAAAACTGAGGAAAAATAGCTGTTTGCAGCATACTGATACTACCAAACAATTTATGCACACCTCTAGCAGACTTTTTTTTTTAACCATCCAAGCATTACCAATTGGCCTAAAATTTAAGCCTCTGCCTTAAAGTCTTTTTGCATCTGTGCCCACAGAAACTGACTGATATTATTAAATTAACACGTAATTTTGAGGAAAGAGGTTGTTTCTTTTAATTTAAAATGAGATAAGTGCTCGGGCCTGGTGCACTGGGAAGACCCAGAGGGATTGGGTGGAGAGAGAGGTGGGAGGGGGGACTGAGATGGGGAATACATGTAAATCCATGGCTAATTCATATCAATGTATAACAAAAACTACTGTAATGATGTAAAGTAATTAGCCTCCAACTAATAAAAATTAAAAAAAAAAATTTTAATACATAGTTAATATAGAACATTTGAAATATACAGGGATCTTTGAAAAAATTCTAAGTCATTATTCTTCTATATGTCAGGAAAATATTAGCATTTTAGTGATCATCTTCCTTTTCTTTTTAAATATATATAAGATACAACCCTCAAGGACAAGGCTCACATCAATCAGAACTCCTACCGGGAAGCCTTGTCATACAGATCTTTCTAGGGCTTCCTTTTTATGTATTGACAGCCAAAAATATGTAGGAAAAAAGAATGCTAGGACATGTATCATATGTTAAAAGTATTTCTGACAGAGGAGAGTAGAATTCATATTTTATTGTACACATTTTGCTTGAATTGTTTAAATGAGATGTGTTTGCAAGTTTCTTGTAAGAGAAAACACTTAAAAAGAGTTACACATTAATTTAAAATGAGGGTAATATCATGCAAAAATATAAACGTATTACATAATCTATCTTAATCTTCTCTCTTTTTTACTACCAGGATATTCAAAAAACTTATTTTACATCCTATTGAGATAGTTAACCTGTAATGAAACCTCATAGATTTGTTGTATTTTCTTTATATTTTTTAAAATTTATTTTTAATTGAATGATAATTGCTTTACAATACTGTGTTGGTTTCTGCCATACATCAGCATGAATCAGCCATAGTTACACATATGTCCACTCCCTCTCCAACCTCCCTGTCCCCACCCACTCCATCCTCCACCTCTAGATTGTCACAGAGCACTAGTTTGAGTTCCCTGAGTCATAGAGCAAATTCCCACTGGCTATCTATTTTATGCTCCTCGGAAGAAAAGTTACGACCAACCTAGACAACATGCTAAAAAGCAGAGACATTACTTTGTCAACAAAGGTCCACCTAGTCAAAGCTATGTTTTTTCCAGTAGTCTATGGATGTGAGAATTGGACTAAAGAAAGCTGAGTGCTGAAGAATTGATGCTTTTGAACTGTGGTGTCGGAGAAGACTCTTGAGAGCCCCTTGGACTGCAAGGAGATCAAACCAGCCCATCCTAAAGGAAATCAGTCCTGAATATTCATTGGAAGGACTGATGCTGAAGCTGAAACTCCAATACTTTGGCCACCTGATTCGAAGAGCTGACTCATTGGAAAAGACCCTGATGCTGGAAAAGATTGAAGGCAGGAGAAGAAGGGGACGACAGAGAATGAGATGGTTGGATGGCATCAGCGACTCAATGGACATGGGTTTGAGTAAACTCCGGGAGTTGGCAATGGACAGGGAGGCCTGGTGTGCTGCAGTCCATAGGGTCGCAAACAGTCAGATGCGACTGAGCAACTGAACCGAACTGATTGATTTTACATATGGTAGTGGATATGTTTCCCTGCTACTCTCTCCATTTGTCCCACCCTCTCCTCCCTCCCACTGTGTTCACATGTCTGTTCTCTGTGTCTGCATCTCTGCTGCTACCCTGCAAATAGGCTCATCAGTGCCATCTTTCTAGATTCCACATATATGGGTTAATACATGATATTTGTTTTTCTCTTTCTAACTTACTCACTCTGTATAATAGGCTCTAGGTTCTTCCACTTCATTAGAATTGACTCAGATGTGTTCCCTTCCATGGCTGAGTAATATTCCATTGTATATATGTACCAAAGCTTCTTTAACCATTCATCTGTCGATGGACATCTAGGTTGCTTCCATGTCCTAGCTATTGTAAACTGCGCTGCAGTGAACACTGGGGCACACGTGTCTTTTTCAATTATGTTTTTATCAGGGTATATGCCTGATTGTTGGGATATATGTGGGATTGTTGGGTCATATGGTGGTTTTAGTCCTAGTTTTTTGAGGAATCTCCATACTATCTTCCATAATGGCTGAGTCAACTTACATTCCCACCAACAGTGCAAGAGGGTTCCCTTTTCTCCACACCCTCTCTAGCATTTATTGTTTGTAGATTTTTGAACAGTGTGAGGTGATATCTCATTGTAATTTTGATTTGCATTTCTCTAATAATGAGCAATGTTGAGCATCTTTTCATGTGTTTATTAGCCATCTGCATGTCTTCTTTGGAGAAATGTTTGTTTAGGTCTTCTGCCCACTTTTTGATTTGGGTTGTTTGTTTTTCCTGGTAGTAAGTTGTATGAACTGCTTGTATATTTTGGAAATTGTTGCATTTTTTGAAAAATGTAATCTTCTTTTCATTTCCTATTCAACTGTCACCTTTACATTAATTTTTGGTACTTCTTTGGTACTTCTTACTTTGTTTTTTGTTATAATTTACTTCAGTAATTTTTTCAAGATTTTGTTTACTTGAGAAATAGATGGACTAATAGATTAATTAAATTATAAAACCAGAAAAAAAATTCAACTTACCCTGGCTATGGAAAATCAAACCAACCATCTCATGTAATATTTAAGACTATGAAGAAATCTGCTTAGAGTACCAAAGCCTTTTCCCCCCAAAGATGCCAACCCAAAAATTGAAATTATATTTCACCAACATCAGTAAGCCACATCCACAGGAACCTGTCCCACCTGCTCTTTCAGAATTTTTTTCTCCTGCAAAGTTTCCCCATCCAGAAGCCCCCAGGAATTAAATGTCTCACTGGAGCTGAGAAGCCAGCAGCCATATAGAAATTTCTCTCCCTGCTCTGCCTCCCTTTGGAGATGTTCTTCCCTTTATCCCAAGGGCTAAATGAAGCTCCTCATCACTTCCCAGAACAGCAGTTGAACTGTTTTACTCCAGGAACTGCTTCCTTCGATGAGCATGTTACATTCCTACTTCCATTTCCTCCAGGTGCTCCTTCTTCTGTTTCTGCACTTCTGTGGAATGCCGCCATTCCTTTGGGTCCTCCAGCTTTCTTTGGTGAGTACACCGCTTCCCAAAAGTCCTTCTTTCTGCCCCTTCCCTCCCTCCCCACCGCCCCACATCCCTTGCAGCCAGGCAGAGTTGCCACCCACACCTTGGCCAGAAACCCCTTGTCCATTGGTTCAAGTCTCACTTACTCAGTGAATCCTACGTTTAGTGATGCACCGCGTTCTGTGGTGAAGGCTGGAGAAGACCCCTCTCCCATTTGGGATGATAATCTCTTAAAGGAGTGCCAAAGAAATATGCTTGTGATCTCATGGCTGGAGCGGTTTATAGGAATACAGTATTTTCTCTTTTTGATTTCAGAGTGCCTCCTCTGGGAAATTTAGATATGAATAAGAATTGAGGGAAGGGAATGCAGCTGAAACAGGAGATAAATATTGTGCTCTGTGCAGACCTCTCAGTCTTGCCTGTTCCTCACTTATGTCCAAGAATTTGTTACTCATTTCATGAGTTGTCTGACATGCTGTTCCCTGAGACTTCATTTTCTTCTAGCAGAAGTCTCATTCTCTCATGCAATCAAGCCTCAGGCGAACTGCCCATTAATTTCCCAGATACACCTAAAACTGACGGAATCCAAAGGTGTGCTCCATTAGGCTCAAGCCAAAAACTCCATTAGAGACAAAAATAAATGTCTTGAATAAATAAGGAGCAATGCTATATCACTGAGTGGGAAATTAAATATTATTCACAGGATCAGTTTTTTCTGAATTAAGTACTGACTTCAATACATCTATTAAGTGTTACCAGCATGGGGAACACAAACAAAGTCATAGTACCTTTAATATTTAAGTTAACATGATTCTGATCCTTATTATGCTCATCTTGAAAATTCATGATTGAAAACAAGTTTTTTCAGCCTGAATCTAAGGCAGGGGTACCTCTGGAATTCTGGTAAGTCTGATTGTGCCTTGATTACCTTCCCCATAAAAATTATTTGGCCAATAATAATAATTTAACCAGATTAATAGAGGGAAGATAGTCCCTTTATTCATAAACTTCTCATATGTTTGTCTTATAAACTGGTTAATGATTAAAGAAATGAATATTACATCATATATAATTATTAGTCATGTGATTATTGGCCAATAAGATCAATATCATTATTAATAAAAATAAATAATTTATTTCTTTCTGTAAGTTGCTGCATTTAGTTAACACACGTGGCATTGGCTACATTTATATTTTAACCTTCTAGGAAGCCTCCTGAAAAAATTATTTATCATATTATTGACATGATATTGTATTACTTTTAGGTGTATGGCATAATGATTTGCTTTATGTATCCTGAAATTAAATTTAGTAAAATACCTTCCTTCTTGTATTTTATGATATCTCTTAGTTGATCAGTTGATAATTAGCCACCAGCAAATGAAGATTGAAAACCCAACCCGTTTAGAAAGGGAAATGAGTCAATAGCAATCTAACTCTGGAAAGATCTTTAACAATCATCATATTCAAAAGTCAAAGAAGAAATAACATTTCAGTGAAATGAAATCTGCTTTAGCATAATTGGAAGCCTCAGGGTAAACCTTTATTTATGTATTTTACAATGAGTAGAATTTTAAAACATTACCAAGCTAATTTAAATGTTTTAAAATGCCAGGAGGGAAGGGATATAGTAGCCTTAAAAGTCCTTATGAATGGATGGTTGATCTTTTCTAATAATTCATTAGAAAATATGCTCAATTTTTCATGGTAAGAAAATGTCATTAAAAAGAAATATCAGCTGCTCAGTTTTATGTTTAAAAAAGATGTCTAATTGACTGCTAAATAAAAGCATGCACAACCTTTTAAAAAATTATCAAAAGCATTGTCCTTGATGTTAGCCTGACATTTTTTCCCTTTGATTAGTAAAAAATAACATCATGGACTTATATAGCACTCTCCTTCAAAGGGACCAAAGAACCTGCTTTTAGAAAAAAGTTATTATCCCATTATCTTTACAAGGATGAAAGTACAAGGGGCTTGCTAATGAACAGAATTGCTATCTAAAACAAAAGTATCAAGTCCACCTGTGATCCACCCTTCCCAGCCATCTACACTGATGGTCCCCCCACCCAACTCAGTGTCTCTGAACAGGCCACAGTATAGCATCAAATGCAGCCTCAAATGACTACTGCCAGGAAGGCATTTGCGCCTGAAACTTGATCAACCACGACTCCAAAGAAACTCTTCTTAATCTGGAACAAGGGATTTCAAGGCGTATTGGTTCAGTCTCTCATCTTTTCTCTATTTATTCAGCTACAATCTCTTGAGCCCCTAGTATGTGTAAGCCTCTGTGGTAGGCACCAGAAAATTAATACTGAGTGAGGTCCAGTAGGGCTTGCTCTCATGAAGCTAACACGAGGTATTAACTAATTAATTACATATTTTTAAAGTAAAATTAAGAAGAGTATTATGAATTAGAAATAGTGGGCATTATGAAAGCATAGTATGGGTAAATCTGGAGGACCACAGATGTCTTCTTTGAGGCAAAGACATTTGACCTGGACTCTGGCATAGTAGGAGGTAACTGGGTTAAAATAGAAGGAAGAGCATTCTAGCAAAGGCTACAGATTACTCCACTATCCTGTATTAGAAAGAAAAGCAATATTGATTATTGTTGTATTGAGCAAGACCAAGAACACAATGTCTATATTTTGGACCAGTGATCCCCAACCTTTTTGGCACCAGGGACTGGTTTCACGAAAGACAATTTTTCCGTAGACTGGGTGGAGTTTGGAGATGATTACATTTGTTATGCTGCCACTGATCTGACAGGAGGTGAAGCTCAGGCAGTAATGCAAGCCCGTGGGGAGTGGCTGTAAATACAGATGAAGGTTCGCTTGCTCACCCACTGCTCACCTCCTGCGCAGCCCACTTCCTAAGGAGCCGCAGACCAGTAATAGTCTGTGACCTGGGGACAGGGTTCCCCTGAGTTAGACAACAATAAAGTGTTTCATAAAAGGTAAAACCCTGAAAATAGGTTTGTAGTTACTTTTAGTAATTATTATTATTGTTGTTATTGTCTGATATTAGTGGAGAATCAGGGCTGTGTTTTTCTCTCACTGCCTTTAAGCAGTGAGTTAAATCACCGTTTTCTACCTCTTGGCAATGTCGTGAACAGGTACAGTAATTGCTTAGAAAACTAGTTTAAGACTAAAGCAAAATTTTCATACCAGGTCTAATTCAGTATTTACTCCTACAGTAAAACCTCTACTCTCTTATGCCTTGACTCCATCCTCTCAGGTCAGATCTGAGGCTTGAGAAAGTTTGTTGGTATTTTGTTCTTCCTCCTTTATGTGGTCTAGCACTGGCATTGCTGGGGTTTTGGGGGTGGAAGAAAGTTGGAAGATGAGAATAGCTGATGGAGAGAGGCTAAAAGAAAAGGTCAAAATCTTGCTTGTCTAGCGCTGTTATAACCCACCCATGTCTTCAGTTGTGGGAAGCTCTAAATGCAGGCTCCTTCCTAGAGAAAATCTGAGGTTTGTCTGGAGAACCCCTCCACAGGATCTCCACAGGGCACTGTCCCCTGACACACGTCATGACCTCTCCTGCTGACCTCTCATGACCCCTTCTGTACCCTTTCCCCTACTCTCAGTGGTGAACCCACAGACTCTTTCAGCTAAGACCTTCACACTTCTGAAACCACCTCCTTCAATAGAATTCTGCCAAGACGGCTTATGTGGCTATTTTCAGTGGACTCACTTGACCCATAGACATTTGCATTCAGGCTGCTGATACCAAAACTGCCTTCTTTGTCCCTCCTGCTCTCATGGTTAGCTCTAACCTACCTCAGACTTCAGCCTTCCTCAGACCAAATGCAGGTGCTAGACTCTACACCTTTCCTGATGCTCTCAAGTTCAGCAAGGGTAACATAAGGCAAAACAATGCATTTATGCTGTTAAATAAATAGGCTGTTAAATCCAGCTGGGAAATAAGATTCAATTCTCTTCTCCTGAAAAAAAAATAAAAGCCAGCACAAACAAACAACATTAACAACAAAAACAAATCTCTTTAGAAAGCCTCTGGTTTTAAGAGAGTAAAGACTATGACACAGAAAACTTTTTCTCTTTTAAATTTCTCACATTTTATTACATAGTTTGTTTGAAGTAATGGATACAAAGTGATAGATAGACCTTTTAGTAAGCCCTCATGGAAATGTCAACTGTACCCTTCAGCTGAAATTCTAAAACAATGGGAAAAGGACCATTTTACACTCTGTTACAGAAATATCAGTTATTCTTATTTCTCATTTTCTTTTTATCATCACTATTTTTAGTGTTGTCACATTTATTGTTTAGGGAACACTAAGACACAAACATTGTAAAATTAAAATCTTTCCCACTGAAAACTTATATAGTGGATGCTCTCTAGAGAGCCGTTCACAAGTGAAGGACTTATTACCCAAGCCTTTGGGAGTACTTCCAGCAGGGGACCCCTTAGTTGTCTACCTCCTTTAGAAATTGTACTGACTGAAGAATCACCTCATCCAAAGGTACATCACCCTCCTCACCTGGAGAGTCCTCAACCAGTCACTGGTTGATACAGAGGCACAAAACTTGGTCCTCTTCTCCCACTTGGAGGGACTTGAAAGAGATGCATCGGCTTCAGAGGTCCTCATGGGTTGGCTGAGGTATTCTCCGTGATCACATTGTAGCCCAACTTCTTTTTCAATCCAGTCCTCCTGTGACTTCATTCCATCTACCCAGAAGATCCCAGGATCACTCCTAACACATCTTCCACACACTAATCTCCATCTCAAGATCTGTTTCTGAGGCCACCCAACCTGTGACAGATCATGGTTAAATAAAAGATGTCCACTATTTCCACCTCTACTAAACATTCTGCCTGAAGGTCCTAGTCAATGCAAAAAGACAAAAAAGAAATGAAAGATACAAATATGCAAAGAAGAAAATAAAGTTCTCATTATTTATAGACAACATAATTGTACATAGAAGACCCAAAATAACCTTCAAATAAAGTATTAGACTAAATAAAAAATTTTGCAAAAC